AAGGTGTAAAAAATGTTTTCTTATTCTATAAGCTTTTCTGTTTTCAAACTCAATTTTAAAACAAAACAGCACAACAACTAAACAGGGCTAGCAGGTAGTGTGGTGGTTTAGGTGTTGGATTCCACATGGCCAACTGTGTGGTTTGAGTCCTGGACTTGGCCACTTGAAAAATCACTCCAGGTGCACATGGTGTATGCATGCCAAAAATTCTGAGACTAGAATGGAGGAGAAGGGACCTGCAGCCTGGCTGTCCTCGCTGGGGAGTGCTTTCTCACTTTCCCTCTCTCTGTCACACTCTCTCTCTCTCTGTGTCTCTTTGGCAAACGCCCTATAGCATAATTTATTAAGAAATGTTTTTTTAAAGCAATTTTGATAAAACTAGACATAAACATACACCTAGGCTACAAATTTAGGGCAGTCATTATCACTTTTTTCCAGCCACCTCCACATTTTGTTCCACTGGAAGGCCATGATGAATTAAAGAACCCAAGATTAAATTAAATTAAAGCACAGGAAAAAATGATACTGACAGAATAGTGGATTATATGAGGCTGCTGCTGGTGTAACAAGGCAAATTGTTTTGCTGTAAACATTTTTAAAGAAAAAATAAATAGAAGGAGTATACTCTTAAAAATGATCAAAGTATAGGATAGCAAATACATAAACCAATAACATAGTTGTTTATTATCATTCCAAGTATTATGCAATATAAATAATTGTAATTGCTGTACTGTTAGTATGACGGGCAGTGCAAGTGCAGTAAGTTTTTCATAGCAGGATCACCACAATCACATGAGTAGTGCTTTGCAATATGCAATTACTACAACCACAGCATCACTAGGCAATGGGAATTTTTCAGCTCCATTATACTCTTATGGGACAACCTACATCTGTGTCATTTATTATGACAAAGATGTTATATGGTACATGATTTTATGGTGCTTGTAGGTTTGTTGGTCTTTGGAATTTAGGATTTGATGTCTTTCATCAGTCTTGGAAAATTCCCAGCCCCACCGTTTTGTCATTTTCTGCTTGATTTTTTTCTGTCCTGGACTTAAGTTACATATATGTTAGATTATCAATTATTGTCTGGAACATCTTGGATGCCTCTTTCTTTTTTTTTGCTTCAGTTTGGATACTACTTTCTATTGACTTGTTTTCAAAGTCACTGATGACTGTTCTCGTTTTTCAGAGAGTTTTTTGTTTGTTTGTTTGTTTGTTTGTTTTGCTCTAGGGTGCATGCACTTGCCAGAGACAGAAAGCTGCAGTCCCTTCTCCACTCTCCTCTTTGGATATTGGACACTCATGCAGACATGCATAGCATGAATTTCAAGGCTGTGGATTTGGGATTCCAACCATGGTTGGCCATGTGGGATTCCAATGATGTAACCATTATGCCATCTGCTGGTCCCCAGATGACTTTTCAAAAAGCTCTCTAATCTGCTATTCAGTCCATCTAGTGATTTTCATTTTTGAATTTCAGATTAGTACTTTTCTGTTGTAGAATTTCCTTCCATTTCTCTCTTTCTCTCTCTTTTGGTAGAGAGAGTTTTTTGCTTTAGGGCATGTGTGCTCCTTGGAAAGACAGACAGAAAGCGAGAAATCACACCCCCCTGGGTTGGGGAGGATGGCCACCCCACCATCCCTTCTCCTCTATTCTCTTCTCAGATTTTGGCATGCATGCATGTATACCCTCCCAGCATGAGTTTCAAGCCTCCGGGTCTGGTTGGCCATGTGAGAGTCCAGTGATAATACCATTATGCCATCTGCTGGTCCCCATTTTTCTCTTTTATTTCTCTTTCTGTGGTATGATTCTGTTTAATCATTTGATTATGTTTTTCTGTGAACATTGTTAAAATAGTTACTTTAAAATGATCTGCAGATTTCAACATCTGCATAATTTCACAGTTGGTTTTCATTGCTTTTCTTTTGACTGTACGTAAAATTTACCTGATCCTTTTTTTTTTTTCCCAAGAGTTTTTTTTCACTATAGGGCATGTGCGCTAGCCAGACAGACAAACAGAGACAGAGAGACAGAAAGCGAGAAATCAACCCCCAGGGGGGATGGTCACGCCGCAATCCCTTCTCCTCCATTCTCCTCTCGGGATCTTGGGCACGCACGCACACGCGCCCGGCGTGAGTTTTAAGCCACCGGGTCTGGGACGTGAACCGCGGTCAACTACGTGGGAGTCCAGCGACATAACCATTACGTTAACTGCTGGTGCCCAGCCTGGCGTGAGTTTTAAGCCGCTGGGTCCAGGACGCGAACCGTGGTCGACTACGTGGGAATCCAGCGACATAGCCATTATGCTACCTGATTCTTCTTAAGTCTCATAATTTTATCCTGCATATCATGAATAATACATTGTAGAGAGTGACTTACATTTTTCTGAAGATAGATATTTTTGCTTCATTACTTCATTTTGTTCAATCTATACTCCAAACTTGATCACCCCTATGATGGGCAATGGCTGAAACACCACCTCAGTTCTTTCAGGGTGCTTGACATGTGTTTTGTTCATGTATAGTTCATTGCTCAACTAGACATTTGGTCAGGATTTATATGCAGAATTTAATGTTTCCTCTCTGTGATGCTCTCCTTGCTGGCATTTCTCCCTTCACTTCTAACTTTTGTGGTAGCTTCAAAATCTGTCCCTTGATTCTTCAGTCTGATAAGATTGTTGATTTCTATTTGGATTCTAGTGAATCAGGCACCAATTTAAGCTGGTCTTCAAGTGAAAATTCAAGAAAAAAAGATGTTACTTAATTCAGTATCATTTTTTTCCTCTAAATGTTAACTTTCCTCTGCTTTCAGCCAAATTTTGGTCTCTCTCCAGTGCTGATAATTGACCTTAATATTTTATTTAGAATTTAAAGCTGTCAATGGAATGCTTCTCCAACATTACCAGAGGCATGACTTACCCTGAATACTGAACACTGTTAAAGATAAATTCGAGCTCTCCTTTCCTTTTTCTTTTTCCTTTCTTTTTAATTTACCAGAGGGCAAATGCATTCACTGTGGGGAGGGAGAAGAAAGAGAATGTAAGAAATTACTCCCTATGTGGGATGGTCACACCACAATCTCTTCTCCATTTCTCCCAACTTTTAGAGTTTGGACATGCATGCACATGTGCCCAGCAAGTCTTTCAAGGCAAGGTGTCAGGTCTGGACTCAAACCACACATTTGACCATGTGGGACCCAGCTGCATTTAACCACCTTGCCACTGGCTGGCTTTCATGTTGCTTATTATATGTTATTTTAAATTTCCACTTAATATTTTATTACAAGCATCCATCATATTAAATGTTTACATTTGCCTAGTGACATAGACCTAGGTTGCCCCCCACCTCCATGAGACAACAGAAAGCGCCATTGAGAACATAACCTATGAGAAGGTTTCTTTACTTCATACACACACGTATATATATATATATATATATACACACACACACACACATCTTTTTAATTATTTTCACAGCTCTTTACCTCAGTTGGTTCTTAGAACAGCTCTCTCTTTTCATCACTGTTTTATTTCCATCTCTGTTTTATTTCTAATATATTTATGTTAATTTGCCAGAGGGCATGTGCATTCTCTGGAGAAAAATAAAGAGGGAGAGGGAAAATAAGAAAGTGCCACCCTTCTATGGGATTGGTCACACTGCAATCCCTTCTCCTCCATTTCTCCCTTCTTTCAGAATTTTGGGCACACACACACATGTGCCTGGCCTACTTTTCAGGCCACTAGGTTTGAGAGACAAATCACGCAGTCAGCCATGTGGAATCCAGCCATCTTGATCACCATGCCACCATGGTAATCATTATTTTATTAAAGTTGACTCATCGGGACCAGCAGTTGGTGGTAATGGCTATGTTGCTGGACTCCCATGTAGTCGACTGTGGTTCAAGTCCCGGACCTGGTGGCTTAAACTAATGCCAGGCATGTGTGCGTGTGTGCCCAAGATCCTGAGAGGAGAATGGAGGAGAAGGGATTGCAGGTGACCATCCCCTTGGGGGGTGATTTTTCTGTCTCTGTCTTTCTGGCAAGTGCATGCACCCTATAGCAAAAACCTCTCAAAAAAAAAAAAAAAAAAAAAAAAAAAAAAAGAAGTTGAATCATCGTTTGATTTGCCTGAGGCTTGCACAACTAGTTATATATTTGTATCTACCTTTTTTTGGTAAAGATTCATTTGCTCAGGTAGTTATATTACTAGTAGTAATATGAATAAAAGTCATTTCAATCCATTGTTCTACCAAATATGTGTTAAAGGTAATATTTATAATAATATTTTCTTTCTTTTTTTTTTGTCTTTTTCTTTTTGTCTTTATTACTGTGGCAATAATGGGTTTCAGTCACACTAGTACTTTCGAAATGAGAACTGTGGGTAAAATGGTTTCATTCAGAGATTTGCCTATGGAACCTTAAATACTACATTGTTATAAAGTATAAGAGTTTTGATACCTTTGTATGTTTTATAAATATTCCTGTAGGCTGTTTTATATACTATAAACTATATTTTTAAACTCAGAATTAATTTAATTTTACACTTTAGATTTTGTTTTAGTGTTCTTGAGATGTTTTCTTTTGTGTTTTCTTTTGTTGATTGAGTTGCTTGGGAACTTGGTATTTCTAGGCAAATTATATACTTGGAGGTAGAATACTTCTCAAGTTTCATAATGTTAGTAAATAAAATTGAGATTGTTTATATTATATAGGCCAAGATGATTTTCTTTTAAACCATTTAGAGTTGGCAAATTCTTAAAAGGTCATATTTTAATGATGCTTTGGTATAGTAAATGTTAGTTTTACTGGTGTCAGATACTTTGGAACTTGGCCTATTACTCATAGCTGTTTAGTGTTACACATGCAGAATTGGAATAATAATTTTTTCTTTCTGTTTTTTAAAATGCGCTAAATTATCATATTGTATAATTCTTAATATGTGAGCTAGATCTTTAAACATATCAATTTTGTCTGTAAATTTCTTTTTCTGCTCTTTAGAGGAAGTATCATTCCGCAAAGGAAGCTTATGAACAACTTTTGCAGACAGAAAACCTTTCTGCACAAGTAAAAGCAACTGTCTTACAACAGTTAGGTATGTAATATACATTTGGTGTATTACAAGTACTTCTCTATGTTTTTACATGCTGTGGGTGGCTCACATCTTCTTTTCTTTTTTCCTTACTTTGCTCAGTGTTGATCAGATTAATCGGAACCCAGTATATTTCTACACTCTGTCAAACATTGTCCATCTCACAGTCTCTCAGTATAATCATTTAATTTAGCGGGTCCTTTTAAATTCATAAAATTACTCCCTAGCGTTTAATCTATGGATGAAGTAGATTGAATACTTCCTTATATCAGATAAATGCTTAGCACTCAGTGAAGTTAAGTGATTTGTCTAAAGTCACTTAATGATTGGTAAACTTATTTTTATAGTTTTACCAATATGAAAATGTAAAATATATATATGTATGCATATGTATATAAAATATTATTTTTTCTAGAGGTGCTTGCCTTAGGGTGTATGCATTCACCAGAGAGACAGACAGACAGATAGAGACAGAGATAGTGAGAGGGAAAGTGAGAAATCACCCCCTTGGGGTTGGGGGACAGCCATGCCACAATACCTTTTCCATTCTTCTTGTGGGATCTTGGGCATGTGCCCGGCGTGATTTTCAAGTCACCGGGTCTGAGACTCTAACTGTGGTCAGCCTCCAATAATTTCTGTAAGCATGCAAGTCTATTCTAGTGTCAAACATGACAGAATATAGCCATTTTGCTATTATAAGAAGATAGTGTAGGAACTCCAAAACATTTAATTTTGTTGTTTAATTATTCAGTTACATTTCTTGTCTGTATTTAGTATTTGGGTTTATTTTTTCAGGGGTGTGTGTGTGCGTATGAGTGTGTATGCGTGGTCTGGGCATATCATTCTTTGTTTTAAAGAGAAATTTTTGCTATAGGGTGCATGTGCTCACGAGAGAAACACAATGAGAAATCATCTCTCGGGGAATGGCCATGCCGCAGTCACTTCTCTTTTCTCCTCTTGGGATTTTGGGCATGCATGCACATATACCTGGCATGCGTTTTAAGCTGTTGGATCTGGGACTTGAACTCTGGTCAATTGCATGGGAGTCCAGTAATATAATCATTATGCCATCTGCTGGTCTGCAAATCATTCTTTAATTTTTAACCAATATTATAGTAATGTGAATGTTGTTGTAATGTAGCTTTTTTTTTTTTTTAAATAAGTTTGAGGTCATTTGGGCTTATATTTTATCATTTACTTTTATGATATTTATATATATGATTGATTATACAAAATAAACATAATTGCTTTTATATAAAACCTCTGTTTTTTAATTTATTTAATTATCAGAGGAGGCATTCACTCACCAGAGGAGAGCACCTCCCAGTGGGGCATGGTGATATTATAGTCCCTTCTCCATTTCTCCACCTTATCAGGATTTGGGGAATGCATGCACATGTGCCTGGTGTGTTTTTCAAACTACCAGGACTGGAAATTGAACTACCATCAGCCATATGGGATCCAGCTCCTTAACCTCTAGGCTATGGGACCAGCCCTTTTGTTTTTAACTTTATCCATTAGAAACTTATTTGAATTGTCTCTACTTACTTTTTTTTTTTTTTTTTAAAGGTAATTGTCTCTACTTAATTTTTTTTTTTTTTTTTAAAGGACGATTTTTGCTGTAGAGCATGTGCACTCACCAGAGAGACAGAAAGCAAGAAATAACCTTCCCAGGGGGATGGCAGTGCCAGTATTCCTTCTCTTCCATTCTCCTCTCAGGATTTTGGGCATGTACGCACACACACCTGGCATGAGTTTTAAGCCACCAAGTCTGGGACTTGAACTGTTGGCAACTATGTGGGAGTCCACTGACGGAGTCATTGTGCCATCTGCTGATCCCTTTGCTTGATGGTCTTAAAAATAATAGAACACTTAAGTTTTTCATGTAAATATTTTCAAATCACTTTCTATAGGTTGGATGCATCATACTGTGGATCTTTTGGGAGACAAAGCCACCAAGGAAAGCTATGCTATTCAGTATCTTCAAAAGTCATTGGAAGCAGATCCTAATTCAGGCCAGTCCTGGTATTTTCTTGGAAGGTGAGACTTACCAAACATTTATGTTTTGTTTTCATTTATTCCAACCAGTTTTGGTTATCGCACTTTTATTTAACTTGAATTATTGCTAGTTTTTAAGACGTTTTATCTGGTATTGATTTTTAGGTGAAGTATTTATTTAAATACCTTTCCTTCTGGTTCCTAATTTCTTATATATATGTCCATTTAACAGAACAGATTATTTCTTATCTGCTTGATGACTGCTGGTAGTCAGTGGAACCTTTTCATTTATAATTTTGGTTAATAATAAATACCAGAATGTCCTTATTTTATAATAGTAGGTCTCAAATTACAGTTTCATTTGAAATCTTACAGTGAGAAAGTGAACACATTATTATTAGACTTGTTGGAATGTAGAAGTGACATGAAAATAGTTTTGTGCAACTCTATAACCTTTATACTTTTCATACATTGCATGTTTGAATTATGCTTAGGATTATCTGAAGTACACCTTTTGTGTACACATCTGATTATATTTTTAGACCATTTTTAGGTTGTGTTTTGGTTTCTAATTGGTTTTATCTTTCATGATAATGGTAGAATGATCAATGTACTAGGAGCCAAGAGATTTGGATTCAAGTCTTGGCTCAGCTACTGTTTGTAGAATCATAGATAATACAGTTAAACCGCTTGAGACTTCAGTTCCCTTTTCCCCTCCTTCCCCTGTCTTTACTCCTTTCTCTTTCCTTCCTATTTATTTATTATTTATTCCATTAGAGAGGCAGTTGTGGGAGGCAGTATGCGTCTCTTACAGGGGTCTTCATGCCATCATCTCACCCCTAATCTCAGCCAGCCCAGATCACTGGCACATGCATGCCAGTCCACTGTGCACAGGAACACCCCAGAAAGTGAATGTGGGACCTTCTCATATGGCCTTGCATCACAGAGCATTGTGTTACTGCTGCACTGCCACACGAGACTTTTTAACCTATTAGATAAGGGTATGGATTGTATTAAATCAGTGGTTCTCAGCGGGTGTTATTTTCCCCCCTTAGGGACATTTCACAGTGTCTGGAGACATTTTGGTTAGTTCAGCTATGGGGATTGCCAGTGGCATCTAGTAGGTAGAGTTCACGGATTCTGCTACACATCTTACAGTACACAGGACAGCCCGATAACACAAGATTTTGTGTGTAATCCATTTTTTTTTTACACAATTTTTAAGTAAATTTGTCATATAATTACATTAAGTTTTAATTGTATGGCTTCAGTTTTTCTTTAAATTTAGGTATGTTCGCTTGTATGAGAGAAAGTAATATTAACATATTTCCTTCCTTAACATTTTTGATTACTCATTAATAATGCACAGTAAAAATTGACTACAAAGGCACTTGCTCTTGGCAGGATTTTCTAATCCCATCTCCGTCTTCCAAAATAGCTTTAATTTGGGATGTTACTAAATAAAGCTTTCCATTTTTCTTCTATGGGAGTAGAACATGGATCTTATCATCTTTGCATTGCTTGTCTGACAATAGTGGCTATTCAATAAGTCAAATAAGCGAACTGATCCCATTTATACTTGGAACTAGCCCTACTGTTAGTGTTGTGGAGTGTGAGACTTTATACAGTGACCATAAAAGTGGTCTGGTACAGCAGAGTAAGGGAATGCCTAAGTCATTGCCTCTACCTTCAAGGTTTATGTAGGAAAATCTCTTTTTATGTTCTAGAAATTATTTTTCTTTTGACCTGAGATAAAGATTAGTAGTTTAATATACTATAGCATGAATGTCTTCTTAATGTAAATTTCAAATTTAAATTCTAGTTATATAAAATTAATGTATAATGTACCATTTCTGAAATTACTACTTAGTAATGCTATAATTTTCAGCTTCAGAGAACAGCGTTCCACACAAGATTTTTTCCAGTTAACTGATTTTACATTTTAAATCACTGAGATACTTTTACTTTAACCTTTTTGGTTAATTTTTCCTTTATTACAGTACACTTTCTTGACTTCTTAAATCAAGGCTACTTAATCATGATTTAATTCATTTTTGGATTCAAGATTATTTTAGACATTTGCTATTTTTCATCTGTAATAATATAATTTGATATCTTTTTTATCTTCTTTTACTGGCTTCTAGCTAGCTTCTAGACTATTTTATTTGTGAGAAAAATTTTAGAAACAAGTTATATTTAAAAAGTTATTAAAGCTTCAAGTGAAGACCTCAAGTGTCAGTAAGAAATTTTGATTTGATAACTATTTCTGAGGCTTTCTTTTTTTTCTTACCTTTGTATTCAAGTCTATGTTGAAAATTGTGCTCATCACTGGCATAAGTATATCAAAGTAGATTTGTAATGTGGTATCTTAAACTAGCACCAGTCATAGACTATGCTATCACAGAACTATAGAGTGTTAGAGTTGGGAGGGACTGAGGAGGCCACCTGTTTTTAACCTTGTAAACTCTGTCATGTTACAGATGTAGAAAGTAGGTTCAGAGGAGTGAATTGTTTTGTCCAAGGTCACACAGGTAATTGTATCAGAGCAGGAACTGGATTCGAAGTTCATCTGGGGCTTTTTTAATTAGACAAGGCTATCTCAAAGGAACCTTTATTAAATTTTATTAGAGAAAAAGTGGTCGGTGGTTGAACTAGGACATCTCTATTTGAGCATGTTGGTTTCCTACTTTGATTTTGTAGGAATGGAATGTGAAATGGTGGTTTTGAGAAGTATTGCTTATTTCTCTTAGTGGCTAAGCTATAAATATGGTATTTGGCTTTGAGTTAACCACAGAAGGAGCATATTTTCTTTTATCTGTTAAACATTTCTTTTCTCTCTGGTATCTGTCCCTGTTTGATATTGTTTCTAACCTTTTCTGATGAATTCTTCCTTCATAAAACAATTTACAGATATTCTCTGAAACTGCCTTCTCTGTCTCAGTCACTGATACTTCTTATATCACTCAGTCCACAAGATTATTGATTCTTTAGTCTTATTTTTACCTCCCCCTTGTTTGTGTCCTGTGTTTTTATAGCCTCTCTGCCATATGGACAAATTCCAAATCTAGATTTCCACACTTAAAGGTATCTTAAACTTCAGGACTATATCTCCTATTCTTTATCTAATATTTCTCATTTTAATGTCCTCACCTCTTATCAGAATCAGCATATTTCAAACCACTTCAGTTATGTTCTAACCTAAACCAGCTCCTCCTTTCACTTTTACCAAAAATAACACAATTTTTTTTAATATTTAATCAGATTTTAAAACTAAATTATAGCCCACTCCCCATATCAGTCAATCACAGTCTTTATCAGACTTTTGGTTTATTGTTTCTCCATCTTTTTTTCTTGTCATTTTTGTTGCAGTCATTCCAATTTTGACCTGTTCTAAACCAATGAGCGTAACCATCCTCCTTTTTACTGTCCGTGATCTATTTTCCTTTCAGTATATCTTTTACATTGTTAGCAGATCAACATTCCTATGAAGTTATTTTGTCATGCCCGTCCTCTTGTTAGAAAAACAAACTGCAGGGTATTCTTGGGTTGGATTTAAAATTCTCTACTTTTTGTAACTGCCTTCTTATATGGACATTAGGTTTTGTTCCTACTGTTCAGACACATTTGAAATGCTTCCTGTCTTCTCTCCCTGAATCAGTGGTTCTCATACTTTTATATTAGATGAGCCAGTAAAATTTTATTTATTTATTTATTTATTTATTTAGAGAGGTGTTTGCTATAGGGCGCATGTGCTCGCCAGAGAGAGACAGAAAGTGAGAAATCACACCCCCAGGGGGGATGGCCACGCCGCAATCCCTTCTCCTCCATTCTCCTCTCAGGATCTTGGGCACGCATGCACACGTGCCTGGCGTGAATTTAAGCCACCGGGTCTGGAACTCAAACCGCGGTCGACTACATGGGACTTCAGCGACATAGACATTACGCTAACTGCTGGTCCCAAGCCAGTAAAACTTTAAAGAATAATTATGAGGACCAAAGTGCAGTGTTTGGGCAAGTAAAGACATTTAAGCTTTTTCTTCTGTTTACTCTCATCCAAGGATATTTCAGAATAAGTGAATTATAGTTACAGATAATAGCTTATTGAAAAAAACTTTATGTCCACATGTATGTATGTGTGTGTGTATATACACATATATGTGTGTGTGTGTGTGTGTGTGTGTGTGTGTGTGTGTGTGTGTTTTTCTTGGCCAAATTTCCATATACTGGCTGATAATTATGAATTATTGATATAAATAATATTCAAATCTCTTACCCTTCCCTTTTTGCCTTTCTTAAATCCTGCAGTATATAGCGGTTTCTTGTATGCTAAATTCTTAGACTAATTATTTGTACCAACCATTTGATTTGGCGTCGTGACTTTTTAAGTTTTTATATTTTTTTCTGTGAGAAGTTTTTATTATAGGGTGCAAGTGCTCGTCAGAAAGACAGAGCGAGACAGAGAGACAGAAAGTGAGAAATCATCCCCCAAGGGTGGATGGCCACACCGCAATCCCTTCTCCTCCATTCTCCTCTTGGGATCTTGGGCACGCATGCACACGTGCCCAGTGTGAGTTTAAGCCACCGGGTCTGGGACTTGAACTGTGATTGACTACATGGGAGTCTAGCGACATAGCCCTTAGGCCATCTGCTGGTCCGGCATCGTGACATTTATAATGTGTCTTCAGTCCCTAACTAAATCATAAGCTTCTTTTTTTTTTTTTGGAGAGGGGTTTTTTTTTTTCCCACTATAGGGCGTGGGCGTTGCCCAGAAAGAG